CAACTAAAATTCAGGAGACTCCTACCTCAGTGAAGTTTCTAGAGGTTTAAGGATTAGGGCATGCACAGATATCCCTTTCAAAGTAAAGGGTTGTATCATATAGCCCCCTTTACAACCAAGAAAGATACATCATGCTGATTAGGCCTCTTTGGAAGTTAGAGGCCACATATTCCTCACTTGAGTGTATTTCTCTGTCTCATATATTGGATAATCAGAAAGCTCACTAGTTTTGAGGAGAATCCAGAATGAGGGATGGCTCTGCAACAAGCCAAGGCTGTACTTCAGACCGCTCTGCCATGTGGACTATAAATTCCAGCAGACCCAAGAGTTTCTGGAGCTTCATTGACAGATATGAATGCTGCTTGGAGGTGTGGTAGTCTTGTAGATGAATTATAGAACAGGCATTTAGGATTTAGTGTCATGACCTAGCTGTCACTGATGGATAACTAATTACAAAATTATTTTATTTTTACTTAACAAAATGCAATTCCATACCTCATACTTTCTTTTATTAAAAACACACAACCCACTTTGCTACTGTGTAATTAAAAGCTTCCCTTATTATTTCTAGTAGGTTTAATTACATATATAAATTAGAATCTTCAACTCTTAAAAACCTTGATTTCTAGTGAAACCTAAGAAGTAAGCAATTATGAACCATCTTTTACATTAGCATTATGTAGACTGGCAAACATAAATAGCAATGGTAATTTCTCAAAAGGTGTGCTTTCTTATAGAAGACATCTCAGTGTGGCCTCAAACATTTGTATTAATAGTCCTAAGGGGAATGTTATAGCTGAATTCTGGAGTGTGTGCTTAGCTTGCACAAGGTCTGGGGTTCAATCCCCATTACCTCTATCAAAAATAAATAAGCTTAATTATTTTCCCCCAAAATAAATAAATTTAAAAAAATAGTAAAAAAATTCCTAAATATTGGTAGTTTCTCTGTAAAAGTAATCCTATGTTCACTAATTAATGTTTAAATATTTTATTTTGGGAAGGGAGCCATAATGGTGGAATAGAAGGGCACTCGTAGCTCACCCTCTACCACAAATACACTAAAACTCAAATCCACGGACCCACACAGCCAACCAGAACACCTGCCAAACTCCAACAGAACATCACCATCTTCAATAGACAAAGACACCAGAAATCTGGTAGGAGAAGAGAAAAAAGAAAGAAGAAAAGGCAAAACAGTGCAGCAACAGTCCCTTGGCGAGAGTGGCAAAGGAGTAATAGAACTTACTCACTGGGTCTCCCTCCACCCAACAGAAAGGCCAGCAGGACAGAGGGGAAGCCTCTGAGGCTCTGATCTGTATGGAGAACCCCTTGACTGACAGAACTAAGTTAAATGGAAATGAAGGGTCCATGGGACACCCAGCCTGAGATGCAAGCTGGCTGCTGGGGGCTGGGCCAGGCTTCCTGATCTAGGCAGTGGACTGGGGCGGCTGCACTGAGGTAGCCCTGGGGTCTGCAGGGTGCTGTGTGCCTTGGATGAGTGAGTGCATAGGGAAGAACAACCTGGGCCCTCCATAAAACAACACAGCTGATGTGCCCAGGGGGAAGTGTGTCATATCCCCATCTCTGAAACCCGTGGAAGCTTTGGGGAGAAGAGAGGCAGGGCTCAGGCACAGCCTCCATATCCTCTGGTGTTTAGCACCCAGGCTGGGGCAGGGTCAAAACCTGAATCTGTACCTAAGGCTTAGCAGCCCCTAAGGCCAGATGGAGACTTGTTTACAGCCCAAGGCAGAGAGGATCTTTCTGCACTGGTACCTCATAGAACTTTTTCCATCAAGACAAGAAGCTGAGTTTTGGCATGGAGTAGGGGCAGGGCTGTTCCACGGTATTCCTCAAGCTCACCTACAGAGCTTGGACCCTAGGTGGAGAGGCCAGCTGCATAGAGCAGCAGAGCGACTGGTGCTGGCAGAGGACAGGTGGCCACCTGCCTTCCTAGAGGGAACACAGCACCTGATCGTGGTTCTGGGAGAGGGTGCAATCTGCCCGCCTACCTCACCTGAGCCCAGCATCTGGCTATGGTATCAGGAAGGGGAGTCACTCAACCACTCACAGCGAAGGAGAGCAGCACCTGACTGCAGTGCTGGGAGGGGACATGATCTGCTAGCCAATAGGCACTAGAGGCAGCACAGACAAGGGCGCCAATAGAGGGCCACTGGAAACAGCAAGCTGAGTTGGTGAAACAGGGTGAAGACAGAAAGACTTCTTGATAAAATCATTAAGAGTGCACAGTCTCCACAAGAACACCCTCCCTTCTTTAATGTTTTAAAAAATCTCTTTTGTTTTCTATTACCTTTTTAATATTTACTTTTGAAACAATTAAATATACTTCCAGTTTTAATCCCTTCAATTTTTTTCTTTAAAATATTATTATTCTTCTTTTTAAAAAATCCACCTCATTTCATTTTTATTTCTCTTGGTTTTGCTATCCTGTTATAGATTATACTCAGGTTTCATTTCTTTCCCTCTTTTCTCCTTTTTAAAGGTATTTAAAAGAAGTCTTAACCCAGTTGCTATTCTGCTTCAACTTGTTCTTGTATTATTGATTGTATACTGTTTTCAAACATTTTTCCCTCCCTTCCTTTAAAATTCTCTTTTTATTTTATCCTTTTTATCTGTTCTATTTTATACTATATTTAAAATTTTTACTATCTAAACAATTCTATATACTTCCAGTTTTAATCCCTTTTAAAATTTTGTTTTAAAATAATTTATTATTATTATATTTAAAAATTCACCTGAATTCAATTTCATTTCTCTTGGTTTAAATCTCCTGTTGTTGATTATACAGTTTTCAAATATTGTTTTTTTTAATCCTTTTTCCTTCTTTTAAGGTTTTTAAAAAGATGTCTCAAATCGATTGTTAGTTTGATTCAACTTGCTCTTCTATTATTGATTATACATTGTTTTCAAACTTTTTTCTCACTTCTTTTAAAGTTCTCCTTTTCTCTTTTTTTTAAGATTTATTCCTATATAGGCATTAGATAGACAAATAAATAAACTCCTTAAGGACCAAAATAAATAACTGATACTCCATAAACCACAGTGCCAGAGAGATATGACCAAGATGAAGAAGCAGAAACATTCCTAATTAAAAGGGAAAGAGAAATCCCCTGAAAGGATAATAAATAAAATACATTGATGGCCTACTAGATCAAGATTTCAAAAAAGGAGTGATCAAAATACTGAAAGAACTAAAAGAGAGAGTATTTAGACATATAGCATATGTCAAGAATGAAATTGAAGCTTTAAAGAGCCAAGTAGAATTGGTAAACTCATTGGCTGAGATGAGAGGTGATCTAAAGGCTGTACAAAGAAGGCTAGATAATGCAGAAGAACGAATAAGTGACCAAAATACAGGGCAACAGAAAGCACACAATCAGAACAGCTGAGAGAAAAACAAATAAAAACTAATGAAAACAACATAAGAGAACTATGGGGTAATATAGAGCATGCCAATCTATGCATAATGGGGGTTCCAGAAGGAGAAGAAAGATCAAAGGGGATTGAAAAGGTTTTTTGAAGAAATCATGACTGAAAACCTCCCAAACTTAAAGAAGAAATCAGATATCCAAGTACAGGAAGCTCAGAGGGTCCCAAACAGGAAGAACTCGAACAGACCCACACCAAGACGTAACATAATTAAGATGGCCAGAGTCAAGGTTAAAGAAATGACCCTAAAGGCAGCAAGAGAAAAACAGAGTGAGTTACAAGTGAGCCCCCATAAGGCTCTCAGCTAATTTTTTACACAAACACTACAGGCCAGAAGGGAGTGGCAAGGTATATTCAAAGTGCTGAATGAAAAAAAGATGTAGCCTAGGATACTTTATCCAGCAAGGCTGTATCTTAGAAAACAAGGAGAGATAAAGAATTCACAGACAAGCAAAAACTAGAAGAGTTAAGCAACAATAAAAACAGGCTAAAAGAAATATTGAAATGTCTATTCTAAATAGAAAAAAAGCACATAAAAATGAGAAACTCATAACTGGAAAAGTGATAACTAATATGAATTGCAAATAGAATAAACACAAAATTGTAAAAGAAGACATCTAAATCATTAAGAGTGGGAGAGGAAAGCAAGAAAATATAGAATAATTATTTTTTTAACTTTTTGCTCTAAGTAGGATGGGATAGACATTATATTAATACCTGTTTAATAAAAACAGTTATAGTAATGGGCTAGTAGACTTTAAAAAAAAAGGCGAAAAATGTACAAGGGAGTTACCAAAGCTAAACAAAATCCATGATAATACAAAGGAAAATTACCAAACTACAAAAAGAACAAGAAAGGAACAAAGAAGAAATACCCAATTAACTGCAAAAATAAGTTCAAAATGGCAATGAACACATATCTTTCATTCATTACTGTAAATGTTAATGGACTAAATGCTCCAATCAAAAGACATAGAGTGGAAGACTGGATAAAAAAACAAGAAACTTCAATAAGCTGCATACAAGAGACCACTTTAGGGAGAAGCACACATATAAATTGCAATTCAATGAATGGAAAAGGATATTTCATGCAAATGGAAATGCCAAAAGAGCAGGTTAATACTGATGATTTCAAACAAAATAGACTTTAAAACAAAGGCAATAAAGAAATATAAAGAAGGACATTTTATAATGATTAAAAGAGTAATACAGCATGAGGGTATTACACTTGTTAATAAATATGCATCCAATATAGCAGAACCTAAGTTCATAAAGCTATTACTAACAGAGATAAAGGGATATATTGATGGGGATCATTGTCAGAGATTTTAACACCACATGAACATTACTAGACAGACCTTCCAGACAGAAAATGAATAAGACAACAGAGAAATTAAATAATACAATTGAAAAATTACATGTGGTGGATATTTTCAGAGGATTAACCCCCCCCAAAAGGATGTACATTCATTCAAGTACACATGGAACATTTTCTAGGATTGATCATGTACTTGGGCACAAAAGAAGCCTCAATGATTTTAAGAAGATAGAAATTATCTCAAGCATTTTTACTGACCATAATGCCATGAAACTAGAAATCAATTACACAGAAACAAAGGGGAAAAAAAAGAAAGCATGGAGATTAAGGAACATGCTATTACAAAAACAATGTGTCAATGATGAGATCAAACTTGAAATTAAAATATACCTTGAATCAAATGAAAGTGAAAACACAACCACTCAAAGTTAATGGGGTGCAGCAAAGACAGCGGTAAGAGGGAAGTTTATAGTGATACAGGCCTTCCTCAAAAAAGAACAATCTCAAATAATCAATCTAAACCACCAGCTAAGATAATTAGAAAAAGAAGAGCAAAAAAAACCCAAAACACAGCAGAAGGAAGGGAATAATAAAGATTAAGGGGGAAATAAATACAAAAGAGATTAAAAAAAAAAACAGAAAAAATCCATCAAACCAAAAGCTGTTTTTTTTTTGAGAAAGTAAATACAATCAACAAAGCTCTGGCCAAACTCACAAAGAAGAAAACTGAAAGAGCACAAATAAGCAAAATAAGAAAGGAAAATGGAGAAATTAGAATAACATATAAATACAGAATATCATATTAAAATATTATGAAAAACTATATGGAACAAAAATGGATAATCTAGAGGAGATGGACAAGATTCTGGAAACATACAGTCCACCAAGACTGAATCAAGAAGAAACTGACCACTTGAACAAACAGATCACTAGAAATGAAATAAGATTAACAATAAAATACCTACCTACAAATAAAAATCCAGGACCAGTTGACTTCACTGGGGAATTCTACCAAACATACAAACAACAAATCATACCAGTCCTTCTCAAACTCTTCCAGAAGTTTGAAAAGGAGTGAATACTCCCAAAGTCATTTTATAATGCCACCATCACCCTGATACCAAAACTAGACAAAGACACTATTAAAAAAGAGAATTATAGTTCAATATCACTGATGAACATAGAAGCAAAAATCCTCACCAAAATTTTAGCAAATAGAATCCAACAGCACATAAAAAATATTACACATTATAATCAAGTGGGGTTCATCCCAGGGACACAAGGGTGATTCAACATATGCAAATCAGTCAATGTAATAAATCACATCAACAAGAGAAAGAAAAATAAACACATGATCATCTCAATAGAAGCAGAAAAAGCATTTGATAAAATTCAATACTTATTTATGATAAAAACTCCCACCAAATTATGTATAGATGGAACATATCTCAACATAATAAAAGCTATATATGACAAACCTACAGCCAGCATAGTACTCAACAGAAAAAACTCAAATGTTTCCCACTAAAATCTGGGACAAGACAAGGCTGCCCAGTGTTGCCACACCTATTCAACATAATCTTGGAAGTCCTAGCCATGACAATCAGGCAAGAGGGAGAAATAAAAGGGATCCAAATTGGAAAAGAAGAGGTAAAAGTGTCACTGTATGCTGATGACATATTACTATATATAGAAAACCATAAAGAGTCCACACAAAAACTACTAGAGCTGAACGAATAATTCAGCAAATTACCAGGTTACAAGATTAATGTTCAAGTATCAGTTGCATTACTTTACACTAATGAGGAACCAATAGGAAAAGAAAGTAAAGTACAATACCCTTTAAAATAGCACCCAAAGTAATAAAATACCTAGGAATTAATCTAACCAAGGAGGTGAAAGACTCTTATACACTGAAAATTATAAATCATTGATGAATGAGATTAAAGAAGAATTTAAAAAATGGAAAGATATCCATGCTCCTGAGTTGGACAAATCAAATTTTTTAAATGGTCACACTGCCCAAGGCAATCTACAGATTGAACGCAATCCTTATCAAATTACCCAGGACATATTTCACAGAACTAGAACAAATCATAATAAAATTTATATGGAACCATCAAAGACCTAGAATTGTCAAAGCATTACTGAAGAGAAAGAAAGAGGCTGGAGGAATAACTCTCCCTGCCTTCAGACAATACTATGGAACTACAGTCATCAAGATAGCATGGTATTGGTACAAAAACAGACATATGGGCCAATGGAACTGAATAGAGAGCCCAGAAATGAACCCACCAACATTTGGTCAACTAATCTTTGACAAAGGAGGCAAGAATATACAATGGAATAAAGACAGTCTCTTCAGCAAATGGTGTTGGGAAAACTGGACAGCAGTATGTAAAACAATGAAGCTAGAACACTCCCTTACACCATACACAAAAATAAACTCAAAGTGGATAAGAGACTTAAACATAAAACAAGATTCAATAAAACTCCTAGAAGAAAATATGGGCAAAACATTTTCTGACATACATCTCAAAAATGTTTTCCTAGGACAGTCTACCCAAGCAATAGAAATAAAGCAAGAATAAACAAATGGGACCTAATGAAACTTACAAGCTTCTGCACAGCAAAGGAAACCATAAGTAAAACAAAAAGACAATCTATGGAATGGGAGAAAATGTTTGCAAATGAAACCGACAAAGGCTTGATCTCCAGAATATATAAGCAGCTCATACGACTTAATAAGAAACAACCAAACCAGGACCAGTTGACTTCACTAAGGAATTCTACCAAACATACAATCCAAAACTGGGCAAAAGACTTAAACAAGCAATTCTCCAAGGAAGAAATACAAATTATCAATAAGTACATTAAAAAATGCTCAATATCACTAATTATCAGAGAAATGCAAATCAAAACTACAATGAGGTGTCACCTCACACCAGTCAGAATGGCCATCATTCAAAAGTCCACAAGTCATAAATGCTGGAGAGGCTTTGGAGAAAAGCAAACCCTCCTACACTGCTGGTGGAAATGCAGTTTGGTGCAGCCACTGTGGAAAACAGTATGGAGATTCCTCAAAATCTTAGGAATAGACTTACTATATGTCCCAGAAATCCCATACCTGGGCATATATCAGAAGGAACCCTACTTCAAAATGACACTTGCACCCCAATATTTATAGCAGCAGTATTTACAATAGCAAAGATATGGAAACAGTCTAAATTTCCATCATCAGATAACTGAATAAAGAAGATGTGGTATATTTACACAATGGAATACTGTTCAGACATAAAAAACAACAACATAATGCCATTTGCAGCAACGTGGATGTTTTTGGAGAATTTTATTCTAAGTGAAGTAAACCAGAAATAGTAGCAAATAAGCCATATGAGATAGCTCATATTTGAAATCTAATTAAAAAAACTCTAAAACATAAATATAACACCGATGCAGACTTATAGACATAGAATACAAACTTGTGGTTGTGAAGGGGACGGGCATGGGAAGGGACAGATTAGGATTTCAAAATGTAGGATAGATAAAGAAGATTATAATGTATAGCACAGGGAAATATATACAACATCTTATGGTAGCTCACAGAGACAACATATTACAATGAATATATATATATATACACATATATATATTCATGTATAAATGAAAAACTCTGCTCTTAACTGGAATTTGACACAAAAATTTTAAATTTATTATAACAATAAAAATGTTTTAAAAATATAGAAAAGATAAACAAGATAATACTGTATAACACAGGGACGTATATACAAGATCTTATGGTAGCTCACAGCCAAAAAAAATGTGACAATGAGTATATATATATATTCATGTGTAACTAAAAAATTGTGCTGTACTCTGGAATTTGACACAACATTGTAAAATGACTATAGCTCAATAAAAAATAAATAAATATAAATGCATTAAAAATTTATTTGGGAATGGCCTAACTACTCAGTAAACGTACATCATTTAACTTCATTTAGTATAACTCTAAAATTTCAAATTACCATATATTTGGAGAGATTATTTTAAGTAGACATTCCTAAAATACAATTATTCCTGAAGAGTTCATCCTAAAGCTCTTATCTCATTTATATTTAATTTACTTATAAAAAAAATTCCATCATACCAAGTTATTTTTTTGCTGACAAATTTGCAATAGATATAAACTTATTTGACTTCTGTTAAGCCTAGGTACATTAAATTACTAAACTTAATATGTTAATGACTCTAAAACATCTATGTTAATTAATTCAATAAACTTTAATTCCAGGTATTGAGTTAATATTGACTATTCCCAGTTCACATGAACCTGAAATTCATTATGGCCAGTTTCCTTTTATATGTCTGAGAAATAATGTAGGTGTCTAAATTCCTTTAAGCCAATTTCTCAGAGTTCATTTGCAAATTAATTTTGATAGTAGCATACAAAGTTAAAGACATTTATGCCCAGCTGGACTTTTCATGCTTCATTTTAAAACTTAGTCATGAATCATGTATTACAATATAAAACTCACTAGTTTATAAATTACAGCTGTAATAATTTTCCCCCATTTTCCCACTTAGTTTCAAAATTGGAAATGACACAGATAAGGTAAGTGTTCCTGGGAGCCCTGGTAGAATATTTGCATCTCAAGGCACAGGGAAAGAAAAATAATTTCCCCTGGAAGGGCTTGTTTCTTCAGAGTCAGAATTCTGAAAAGATGTTGTATCAAGTCAGCTGTCTCTAAGAACTGTGTATGCAATAGAAGAGCTCATATTGGTCACTTTCAGGGCAAGATTTGTCTTTAATTCCCAATTAAGTACTTGTAAGTATAAGTTTTGTACATACACAAACCTGGCTGGAGTGTTAGTTGGAGACTGGCTTTCTGACACCCCTGATTTCCTTGTTTGAGAGTCTTTATTTCCCATTTTGAAGTTGAATTTGTCATGGATATGATGAACTAGTGGAATTATGTGGTGGGCCAGTGTGTTTCTTGTGAGCTGGACTCCTCTAAGCATCTCCTGATAGTAATTTCAGCCTTCTTATATGTCTTGATTTCTATCTTTTGTCATCTAAGACCAACTTGGGTGCTCAGAGACCACCTGTGCTTGGATCACTGAATGGCCAAATCTTGTATATGATCTCTGAATGAGGAAATGTTTTAATTAATTAATTAATTAATGGATTTATGTATGGTACCACGGCACAGTATGAGGAATATACACCCAGCAGTCCTGTAAAATTCTCAGTTGTTTCAGAAAGCCATAACCCACTTGGAAGACACTTGTCCATCTTCTTCAGAGAAAAGGGCTCATGTAATATCTTTACTTTTATGCCAACAAATTCTAATAAGACAGCTGAATTGAGGGAAGGTGTCAGATTAGCCTCCTACCCAACCATTCAGCCCAGACAACTCAATGTCTTTCAACTAAGCAAAGCCCACTGTCTTTCAGCCAGGATCCCCCCAGTATCTTTTAATTGGGTGGACACTCTTCTAGTGTCTTTTCAATGGGAGGTCAGGTAACTGTTAAATACCAAAAATAAAATTCAGGCTCATCAAACAATATAACAGAGCTGAGAACAAGGAGAGACTCTACCAAATTTCTCTGGACTCTCCAAGGAGGCTGATGGGTACAAGAGGCCTTTGTTGGTATCAAGCTCTGGTTCCTTGTAGACTTCAAGTGAAGGAGAGAAGTCTGCTCTTGGTCCCTTCTTTGGATGACCAAAACTGTTGACTGAAAAAATGCACAATGTGAGAATTGTGAGTTCTGCTTTATTTGAGGCAAAATGATGACTGTAGCCTGATAGACAGCTCTGAGAATCTGATCTGAAGAGGCAAGGGGGGAGGAGAGTACACATGTGACCTTGGCGAAGGGAGGTACCTGCAGTCAAGCACACATTTTGGCAGAAGGTTACTGCTAGTCATAAGAATGTCGCTGCTAGTCATGAAGAGCAAACATATCCATTAATTATTTTAGGGTTTTCTAGATATTAGAAACTCAAGAAATAGGACTCATAAAATATTTTCCTGAAATTAACTATCTTTAGGCCTGTTCTGCCAGTTTTTTCCCAGGGCACCTCATTCCTGATCTCTACCATGAACTCCTTTCAAGTTGTGTTGAAGGTCAGTGACTGCAGTGGCCAGTGATTTCATTTTTGTAGAAACAGATAGAAAGTGACAATTCTGTAGTTGACAGTAGCAACCTGAGGATGAAATGAGAGCAAAATGGTATTTGGGAACATAGTGTTTTGTCCACTGGGTTGGGTTTTGTATACATCTATATAGTTGCTAGATGTCTCCTCATAACTAACCTAATAATTTATCCATGGCCTCCATCAGATTCCATGTCAGAACAAAAGGAATTGTTAAAAGTCTCCTTAATTTATAGTGGTTAAGAGATAATCCTTATTTTTCCCATTTGCCAAAAAACACAGTTCAGATAAATATATAAAGTAGAGATAATCAATTAGACTGTATTACTGTTTCACTGAGTCATAGATAAAATTTAAAAATGAAATATACAAGAACTCTGCATCCGTCTACGTGATTATGCATGTACTCACATATGTAATGTATATGTGACATTTTCTACCTCTCCAAATTATGTCTAAATTAACTTATACAATCCCTTAAAAGCTCTATACAAATTGGCTTAGAGATGAATGAATACTTCCATATATTAAGTTTCTATAACTCAGAAATATAAAAACCAATCTAATTTCTTAATATCACGTGATTTGAGGTGATCTTTGTTAAACAAAGCTAGTTTAAAAAATTGTTGGTAAAATAAACACAAGTAAGTTTTCAGAGTTTTCAGCAGTAAATATAATGCAGACATACAGGGGTTTTTTTCTTCCTAGGCTTAAAAGTCAAACAAGCTTATAATATCTCTACTGGATGTTCAAGATTATAAAACTATAAATCCAACCTAAGAATGAAATCTGCAATAAAAATGAATTACCTGATGCATGTCAAGCATGGTAGAAAATCTTTAAAAAATCATTAAAGACACAAGAACCAAATATTTAACTTTTTAGTTTTATAGCCTCTGTGAGTTTTTTTTTTGGATTGTTGCCTTAATTTTCAGCAATAAAAAAAGCATAGGATGATGGCTAGATTTGTTTGTTTAACTCATTAAGTTTTCTTGATGAGTTCATATGTATTTGTTAAGCACAAGTAGATTAAATAGGTGTAGCTGTGATAAAATATATAAATGAACTTTTCAACAACAATTTTGTTTTATACTATAGCTACATATAATAATTTTATAAACATTTTTGATAACTTGAAACCTTAAAGCTATACCAAGTTAAGGTAAATAATGTATGTTAATTAACATATAGGTCATTTCCAAATAAGATAAAATATGGAAGCATTAGTTATGGAAAAAACTTTGTCTATAATTGCATACTTTGAAAAATAGTATAGAGAAGCTAAATATATATGGGTCCATTTTCTTTTTTTTTTTTAGTAGAATTAATTTTTTTAGAGCAGTTTCAGGTTTACAACAGAATTGAGCAGAAGATACAGAGTTTCCTCATAGCCTTCCCTACCCACACATATAAGCTCCCCAATCCTCAACATCCCTCATCCTTGTGGTATATTTGGTACATTTGATTAACCAACATGGGCACATTATTAACAACCAAAGTCCAAGTTTACATTGGGGTTTAGTTTTGATGTTGTGCATTCTATGGGTTTTGACAAATGCGTAATGTCATGTAGACACCACTATAGTATCATACAGAATAACTTCATTACCCTAAAAATCCCCTGGGCTCCATCTATTCACTCCTCCCTCCATACCTCTCCCCAATCCCATGGAAACCACGATCATTTTATTGTTTCTGTAGTTGTACCTTTTCCAGTATGTCATCTGGTCGGAATCATACAGCTTGTAACATTTTCAGATTGGCTTCTTTTCTTTACCATTTTTTATTGATTTATAATCATTTTACAATGTTGTGTCAAATTCCAGTGTTCAGCACAATTTTTCAGTCATTCATGGACATATACACACTCATTGTCACATTTTTTTCTCTGTGAATTATCATAAAATTTTGTGTATAATTCCCTGTGATATACAGTGTAATCTTGTTTATCTATTCTACAACTTTGAAATCCCAGTCTATCCCTTCCCACCCTCTACCCTCCGGTAACCACAAGTCTGTATTCTCTGTCCATGAGTCTTTAGATTCCACATATGATCGATCTCATAAGGTATTTTTCTTTCTCTTTCTGGCTTACTTCACTTAGAATGACATTCTCTAGGAGCATCCATGTTGCTACAAATGGCGTTATGTTGTCGGTTTTTATGGCTGAGTAGTATTCCATTGTATAAATATACCACTTCTTCTTTATCCAGTCACCTGTTGATGGACATTTAGGCTGTTTCCATGTTTTGGCTATTGTAAATATTGCTGCTATGAACATTGGGGTGCAGGTGTCATCCTGAAGTAGATTTCCTTCTGGATACAAGCCCAGGAGTGGGATTCCTGGGTCATATGGCTAGTCTATTTCTAGTCTTTTGAGGAATCTCCACAGCTTTCCACAGTGGCTGCACCAAACTGCATTCCCACCAGCAGTGTAGGAGGGTTCCCCTTTCTCCACAGCCTCTCCAGCATTTGTCATTTTTGGATTTTTGAATGACGGCCATTCTGACTGGTGTGAGGTGATACCTCATTGTAGTTTTGATTTGCATTTCTCTGATAATTAGTGATATTGAGCATTTTTTCATGTGCCAATTGATCATTTGTATGCCTTCCTTGAAGAATTGCTTGTTTAGGTCTTCTGCCCATTTTTGGA